CTTGAGCGATTTTACTATATAATTACCTAACCTCTAACCTTATTATAAACGCTAACCACGCTAACCCTAACATTAACAAACTTTAAAGGTTTTGCTGCGCCACAAACCTGGCACACATTTCAGATGTGCAATAAATAGATAAATAATTGGTGGATTGAAACTCTATATATAACCATTAATAACCATAGCTGTCTGTACCTGGCTTTACCGTTCCTTTAAAAACTATTAATACTTAAAAAATTTATTATATTTTAGTTGGTGTTGGCATTTGAACTATGTCAGCTTGTCAAAAAAGTAGATACTATTTCAGGTGGGTACTATATAAAGCGCTATACGGTATCTGGAGATTCAGAATGATCAAAAATCACCTAATTCGCGATTTTTTTTACAAGTATTCTATCTAGAGACAGGACTCGCCTCAACTTGCAGTTCATGAATTAAGCGCAAGAAAGTACTCAAAATATTTGATTGAGTCAATTTATTTAAATCGCAAAATTTAAATTACAATTCATAGAAATAATAGAAGTTTTAGAATTAAAAAAAATAGCGTATTTCTAGAGTTTAAAAATCTTATTTGTGTATCGAATGGGAGTATTAAAGGCTTCCATTTAACGAAATAAATAAACTTTTCAACGACAAAGATTATTTCAAATTTATCAGAAAATGAAATAAAGTTATATATCACTCATTTGAAAATAAACATGTCATCTATTTCTGTCAAAATTAGATTTGCACTTTAGTTTTAAAACCCCCTAATCTGGTGTTAATATGTCCAAATATTTTCAAAATCAATTGGACATATGTCTAAAACCAATTGTGGCGCAGTTTTTTCCAACACTGCCCTAATCTGTTCGACTCGATAATCCCAAATCGTGATAAGCTCAATTTAGAATTACGCTAGTAATTTATTTAGGTGATTTTTTGTGCATGTTCATAATAAGGTTAATTTTTAATAAATTAATTTTGAACTAGAGGATTTCATTTCCTATTGCGCTCCTTATTATTTGAAATTTTCTGAGATCGCTATTCAGAATTTAAAATTTATTACCCCTTAATTCGGGTCATACTTTACTAGAACTCTAGTGTTACCAACCCAAAGATTTTATTAAAAGAATTTTGCTGTTACTGTAAATTAAGAACATAATTTGCTATTATATTAGGTTAGAAAGAACTTCGTTGATGCAAAAAATTCACGGGTTAACCTTTTTTAGTGCATTGAATGTTTAGGGTAACGGCACTAGAGCAGCTAAAGACTCCCAGCGCATGAGCAGGCGCATGACTTGTTTTATTTTTAATTATAATATATAGTAAGCTACGTATACAGCTAAATCAATGATCATATACATTATCGGCTAAACCACAGTTTAACCGCTTATCCCTTAAACCAGGTGTTCAAACCAAATTAAACCAAGCCGACCGAATACCATCCCTACTTTTCAGGTACTTTTCAGGTGTTCTTTATAAACAGAAGCGACCGTTCAAATTCGTAGATGATTCCGATATGGTTACACGATTGATAAATAATTTTTTTTATACATTTTATAATACTTCTTTTAAAAGCTCGGATAGCTTAATTTTCTATAAATTTAACGGGATATTTTTGTTTCGCCCTATCGCTATAGCATATTTTTTGAATCCCTGTGAATCTATAACTTTTTTTTGCAATCTGATTGGCCGATTTGCTAACTTCCGAGATCATCTAATTGGCTAACTAATTAGAGAGGCCACGAGATCAACTTCTATACTAGACAAATTATCCAAAGCATAGCAATAGTTTCCAAACATTGGTAATTCAAACATGGCTAATGTTTCTAAAAAACCTCCTAAAAGAGAATGCATGTTTATGGATATTCCTTGTGAAGTATTTATTAACATTTGCAAATTTGTGCCTCCTATTGACCTTGTGACGCTTACTACTGTGTGCAAGAAATTTCGCTGGTGGTTACTCGCACCCTCCAATTTTGGAACGGAACAGATCTGGAGTACATCTAGAAAACTTTTCATGCCAAATTTAAAATCACCACCACGGGGAATTTCAGAACAATGTTATATTTCTCTTTATTTGATTGAGTTAGGCTGTCAGTTCTGCGGAGCTGGAAAAATTGAACCACACGGAAAACTGCCCACAGAAACTCCGGCGAAAATTTACTGGGTTTTTAGAGTCCGCTGTTGTAAACGTTGCCTTATAGAGAGAACAGTAACGTAAGTTTTTTTACAAGTTTTTGTTTATGCTTAATTCCTATTACATATAATATTTAAACATAATTATGTAGTTCAAAGCAGATCAAGGAAGAGAAGATTATTCACGATTCTTGCCTTGCAGGAGTGCCATTCATAGAACAAGCTAATCGACCGCGTGTCTATTGGAAATCAGCCGTTGAAGCTGCGAATCGAGATTTTGTCAATCTCAATGAAGAAGAAGTCTCTAATTGGATCGTGAAAAAAAAGAAAGAATTAGAACATCACAATAAGATTGCAGAATCATGTAAAATACCACCTACAAAGTTGGACAATAAGGCTCGACTAACATCTGTGATTTGTCATTTATCATCGATAGTACCGAATGATGCCAGACGTAGTGATCTAGAAGTGAAAGTAGAACTTCGCCGATGTCCCACATTTAAGAAGTATCTTCACCCTTCCACAACGCAACTTTTTACGGAACATCACTGGGCCAATTTCCAAAATATTATATACAATGAATACAATGATAGGCGTAATTATGCTGCCTTAAGAGCGCAGCAGTATGACATTTTCTTAAAAGTAAGAATAAATTATGATCCATTTTGTAAATTGATTGGAACTTTAGTTATTTATATAGTTGCTTTATTAGGTTTATTCTCTGATTCCAACAAAATATACAATGTCAGCTCCTCTTGTTCAGTATCTATTTTATTGCCCATCGTTTAAGAAGCCGCCTTTCAATTACTGGCAAAGTAAACAACAACAGGGTTATTCATTTATGGAAACATATATCGAAACCAAATTCATTCCACGACTTGCATTGGAAGCAAATGATATTGCAAGTAAACCTGAACGGCCATGCCAAATAACAACTGTGACTGGAGTCCAAAAATTAGGGCTGTCCAACAGATGTATTTTTCGATGTAAATTATGTGTTGAGGCAAATTGGAATGTATTACTAAATTATAAAGAAGTTCGTAGCCACTTGCAAACCAAGCATGGCGTACAAAAAATCATAAATAAGAATATGATTATTGTCGATTATTTGGAAACGGGGAAAACCCATTTGAAACGTGATTCGAAATTGATTGGTTTTTTCTTTCCTATGAACGATGAGGCTTAAATTGTCATTATGATTATTATAAGTATTTAATTTTTTCTGATAAATGTATATGTACTGTAAGTAGCAAAAGTAACGTAGTAACGTCCGATATAATTTTTTGGCATCTCAATTAAAAATATTCAAGATAACTTATTAAAATGGTAAATTTTGACAACATTTGGTAAAGATTTTATTAATTTTGCTGTTTAAATTTTAGTGAAAAATTTTATGATCTTTAATTAATTATCGCAAATTAATCATAAAATGGGTGTCGCCAGGGGACAATCACACTAGCGAAAACTTACGCAATCCCTAGAAAATCAAATAAATTGAATCCAGTAAATAATAAACTTGAAACCCGATGGTAGGCTATCTTGATCCACCAACCCTCCTAACATAACTACGTAATCGTCGATTTAAAATTGAATGAGATTTACCAGAAAGTGCGATTAACAAATTTGACCAGCTTATAGTCAATTGAATGAATTGTACGTATTAACTGTAGGTAATACGTAATCTTAAAAACTTTGTATTTCACACAAAAGTAATATATTTTTACTAATTAAAGCTATTAATGCAAAAATGCTACGTACGTACCCGTATTTTCGCGTAATAACGCGCAGGGGTGTAATTTCGAATTTTGACCTAAATTAAGCTTAATTCGGGCCAAAATTCGAAATAACGCTCATGGGCGTTATTACGTGAAAATACGGTACGAGCATATTCCCGATGGATCGGCAGTACAGTTAGGGATTTTATCAAAAGGGTTAGGGACGTGACAAAAATCAGGTGATTTTTTAGGAGGGGGAGGGGGGTAAAAAATTTAAAATTATATATTAAAACCTGATCAAAATATATAGTAAGAGGGTAAGTCTCTGATAAAAAAAAATCAGGTGATAAATGAATATACCGTATTTCGCGGGCTAAACCACCCCCCCCCCCTGTCGGATTGTGCGGATATTTCCATGGTGCATATCAAATTAATAGCCTGTTCATTGTTATGAAACAAT